GTATATAATTATTTAAAAATTTTGTTTTTTGTTCAATGAAATATTCGGAAATCATAATTTCACATACGCCCATCGATAATTCATTATCTATTGACCATTTAATTATTTCCAATGCCCTTCCAATATTCAGCGACCGCACTGTGCATGCGCTGTACAAATTCCATAGCACAGCCAGTCCACTTAGTTGGTACACTACTGTTGCGGCCACCGCAAAAACACAAATTATTATTCTCACACACACGCACTCAGCAGGCGGTAGCTGTGCGCACGTAATTTGCCACCACTGTCGGCCACTACATACAGTTGCCCGTCTGCCTGTGTTCGCTCTGCTCGTTGCCCGCCCTCTGCCGTCGTTGACGTCGCTGTTGCTGTCGTCGTCAACGCTCTATGTTGGTTGGTTGGTTGGCCTGGCCTGGCTGGCTGCTCGACTCTCAGCTACAGATACGTTTGCCTGTACTGCGCTCACTGCGGCGCGGCTCTGGGCTCTGTGTATTATTTGATGGTCTCGCTGTTCACTCGTTCGTTCGGCTCGCCTCAGCGTGCGTGTGTGTATGTTTCGCCTCTGCTTCTGTTCTGCTGCCGCTGCTGCTGCTGCCTGCCTGCCTGCCTTGTTTCGCTTCGACTCGACTCGCCTCGCCTCGCCTCACCTCGTCTCGCCTATACTCGCCCTGCCTCGCTTTGCTTTGCCTTTGCTTTGCCTTTGCTGCTGGTACAGCTGCTTCAGTTGAATTTCAGTTCAGTTCAGTTTTCTATAGACACTCGCAGTACATTTTGTTCAGCGCTCAGAGTGTTGTTCAGTGCCAGTGCCAGCGCCAGTGCGAAGCAAATTTCTAGTCCGAGCCGGGCCAAGAGTGAAGTGTAAACAGACAGCAACAACAGCGGCAGCCAGAGCAAAGTACGTACGTATATCAGAAATAAGAGTATTTTTCATTAGTCGTCTGTGGGTAATAATTTTTACACTGGCGTTTAGTGTTAGGCCCACGGGGCGTCACAGTTACAGTGTGCGTCAAATTAGTAGGACAACCTCTGTTCACGTTTTAGTTTTGCTTAGCTGGTTGCTCAATGTTATCATCAATTAAATTGTTTAACAGCTCAATTGCTGAGCAGGCCATGTTGAATAGGAAATGCGATTATTGATTTGATTATTTATGTTTAATCAAGAACTAGTAAAATTTATGCTTTTTGATTAATATTCAAATTAGTTTTTGTAATGATTATTATATGATCACATAAATTAAATTG